AGCGCACGCGGCTCTGGCACTGCAGAGTTCTGCCCAGGGCCTTGACCCAGGCCGCCTGGGCGGCTCCCCCAGGACGTGGCTAGACTCTTGGCCCAAAGGCGGTACTCACGTGGCGGAAGGGAAATTGCGTTTTAAAAAGAACGAAAGCTCCACAGAGCCGCAGAGGCGCCTCTCCCAAAAGTATTACTTTTTCTATTGTTATTTTATACATTTTTCTTTTAAGTTCTTCCCCCCACCCCCTTGGACCATCCATATAAGCTTGTAACTCTTGACTGTGGAGAGGGGAGAGAGAAGAAAAGAAGTTCTGTCGGATCTCAGCTTCCAGCCTTCTCCTCTCCTTCCCACTCCTACCCCTGGGAGCCTGCAAAAGTGTAATCCATGTAACTGCTTCAGCCACCGGCCCCAGGGAGCCCGCGGGTTCTGGGCGTCTCCTCCAGCTATGGCTGCGCCCACCACCCGCTCGAGGACTCGACCAAGGGCCCCAGCCTCGACCCTGAGGCCTGAGGGGCGGGCCTCCAGCTCCCCCTGCCCGCCTCGTCTCTGCGAGCCGGCAGCCGGCCTGGAGCAGAGCGTTGTATTGCGATTGGCACTTTATGCTGACCATCGGTAACGGACATTTATCACTGGAGTTTTTAAAATATTAAATAAACGGTTATTTTACAGGCATGATCGGATGGATAAATTTCCTCCCAAAATGTAGGAACCGGCTCTTTTGAGAAGGGCTTCCTGACACACTTCAACTGGCCACTTTTCCTTATTCTCCTGGTATTTGGGTGTTAAGCTTCCATCTTCTGGTGTTTATTTACCTCTGTCCCGGGGTACGTATTTGCTTTCTTAACTTTCTAACCTGCTGCGGTCCTAGAATCTTAGTTTTCCCCACTCCTCTCCTACAAAGGGCTCTGAGTTTACAAAGAAGGGGAGCCTGAGGTCAGCACATCTGTGGGAGAAATCCCAACATTTCTGGGTGAACACGAGAGACACACAGCGTCACCCCATGCCCCAGCCCAGAGCGGTTTGTATTTTGGGATGGGTAGGACCCCTCTCCTCCCTCCATTCCAACACTGAGCAACTATGCAATCACTGTTAGCATCACAGATCCCCAGTCCTCCTTCCTTTCCGCTGGAAGAAACCCCTTAGAGACACTTCTGTTTGGGACTCGATCACTGCTCCAAGCCAGCGAAGATTCCTACAGTGTGAACGTTTTGTCTGGAGGCCAGGCAGGCCAGGCGTCCCGGGAGGTGGAGAAAAAAGTGTAGGAAGAGAAATCCGAGTCCGTGCTGCGAGTGGAACGTTCCCCGGGAAGCCTCCTTTTCCCACAGTCAGAAGCCAGACCGCGGGGGCTCTGCTGCGGGCCTGGGGGGCGGGGCCCCCTGACTGCTAGACCTCGGCAGGCGGTGGCGCCCGCCCTCTTCTCCATGCTGAACACAGCCTCGCCTAGGGGCTTCAGTACCTGAAGCTCAGTGACCATTACCGAGGAGAGGGATCCCAAATCCAGCAGAACCCTGTGTACTGAAAAAATGAGCAAGACTTTTAGGGAGTTAAAATGCCTTTTACTCTTTCTTCCCCGCCTCCTTGGTACTAGCTACAACTCCAAAGCTCTGTAACCAATTTCTACCCAGTGGTCGGAGACCCTCTGCATCCAGATGCTCTGCCCCCTGCTGGACAGCAGTGGACCAGGTTTTGGGTTGCCTCTCAGTTCCGTCGCCATTCCCACGGAACTTGCATGTAGCCCCCGTCCGCAATTCCTCTATATGTCTAAATCTTTTCCTCCACGGGCCCTAAGAGCAGCTGCAAACCCGAAGCGAGGTTGTGCAGGCCTGTGAGGCCTCTCTGCTGGCCCAGTAATATCCCAAACCCTTGGCCACCCTAGTCCACAAGGATGAGCTCCAGGAAAGAACAGAGCTCTGTTTCCCTGAATCAGGACCTGTGATTGCAGAGGCATAGGAGTTTAGTCGGTGGATTTTAGGTGTTGATGGTCTAGAACAAACCAGTGCAGGCGGTGGTGTGGTCAGAGGCTGGCCTGGACGGGTGTTAGGAACCACAGCTGGGGCTCCTTTACCTGGCCAGGTGAGGTTGGGGGTTGTGGTTGCCCTAAGATGGCAACAGTGGGTGGTGTACACACATCACAAGAAACCACCAGGACTCCTCTGCACTACTTGAGACTTGAGCTTTGCTTTTCCTGAAATTCCATCTTTCCTGGGGAATTGACTCCTGCTATGAGCCTCTTGTGGCTTAGTGGTAAGGAGTCGCGCTGTCAACCTAAAAGCATACAGTTTGCACAACTGCTCTGTGGGAAAAGGATGGGCATTCTCCTCGAGCTCTTCTGAAAACCCACTGGAGAGTTGGTTCTGACTCAACAGTACACAATGAACCACAAAACTAGTTCTCACCTCCAACATCGTTCAGCTGTCATCATCCCCAGAACACAAAAGTAGCCCCAGTAGCTAGCCGAGGACCCCCCCAAATGTCAAAAGAATGCAAAAAGCAGAAGTTTGTGGTGTGATTTCTTTTTCCCCACTAGCCTATCTCACTTCTTGTACCAAGCCCACTCTCCAGCATTAGCGCCTCTATTAAATGTACATCTTCGGAAAAATGGATTTCCACTGTAGATGGTTCTTTGGGGTGGAGAGTGCGGCGAGGAATTTTTTCTGGGGACTACTTCCCAGATATCCAGCATCCTCAAAATGCCCTAGGGCAGTGGCTGTTATCCTGGTAAACCAAAGGCTCCTCCTTCGCGCAGATTATGGTGATTTTTACCCATTGCAGTGATTTCATAAATTGCGCCTACACATCAGTTGCAGGCGGAAGAGTATGAACTGGCTGTGCGTCAGCGGTGTAAGACTCCCAGGGCCTGAAGTTCCTGAGCGCCGTGGTGGTCGGGGAAATTTCCCCCTCATTTCCAGGATGGATCGCGTGGGAAAGTTACCGAGAGTCAGCCAGCAATGCTAGGTGGGTTTCCTGGCTTGCTCCACTCTGCTGGGATCAGCTTCTTCCCAGGACACGCTCTTTTGTTCAGAGATGAAAAGCTCCTTGAGGGTCAGTCCCAGGAACCGCAGTGCCCCTGAGAGCCGAGATAGGACCAGTGCTGAGGAGCAAGGGCGGCTGGTGGGGCGCTGGCGCTCAGCGCGGCCCTTTGGAAACCTCTTAGGGCTGGTGTGAGGTGAGAGGGTGGGGGACCTACTGGCCTCTGAAGAACGTCACAGGACCAGGACGAAGAGAGATGCAAGAAGCCCTAGACGCAGCCCCGACCTGCTAGGTGTTCTCTCTGGGAAGTGATCAGGAGAACACTGGAGAAACAGCCCTCATCTACTTCTCTCGAGACGGAAGAGGTTCAGATTACGGTGCCTTTCAAAGAGAAGGGAGGGGTTTAAGGGCTAGAGAGGTTGCTTTTTCTGCAGATCTTCTTGCCCCTGGGGTCATATAGCTTACATATCGCGTGAGACACCACATACTGCGGATGGCCAAGGGTCACCTCAGCTCTCATAAAATGCTGTCATAACTCTCCGGGGATCTATGCTCTGGAGAGCTGCCTCCAAGGCGTGCTTGCACGTCCCCCCAGCGCCAGCGCCCGGTGGCACAGTGATGTCCAGTCTCCTTCCTCGCACGCAGTGACGTCACGCAGAACTCTGGCTACAGTTCAAGGGCCCCAATTGGCTGAAGTATCTCATTTACGCTGGTGTGTGATGTTAGAAACATGCATTGCATGGAGCAGTGACGTTAGAGCGCATCTATTTGTCCCCCACCGACACCGTCCACTGATCTATAGCATTGGGAGGTGGCCTGAGAGAAGGCCCTCTGAGATGTTCCCAGAACCCTCCCCAGGCTTTCGGTCCGCCCACTCAGGCCCCGCCCCACTGCTCGTGTCCCCGCCCTCTACTCGCCACGCCCCCTCCCGCCCTCCCCTTCCCGCCGTTTCCGCGCAAGCGCAGACCGCTCAGCACAAAGTGCAGTCTTGTTTTCTGGTCTCGGGTCACAATCACAGCTTTATTCTGTATCTTTCATAGGGGTAAAAGAACTCTCTGAGTGCAGAGGTAATCGAAGGCTCTGCAGGAGAAATAGGTGAGGGTTGGATTCCGTAAAGATTACACCTTCGGAAATCCCAGTGGGGATTTCTACGTTGCCCTATAGGGTCACTTAAAGTCTTCATGGAAGTGAGGCAGTGGGTTCGGATTCGTGTTTTGTGTTTCAGGGTACAAACGTAGTGCAGTATTGGCTCATTCAACTATATGAGCGCTTTAGATGCAGGCAAGGTTGAGCGTAGCCACGTGCAAATGCAGACTATTCTGACTGAGTAGTTAAGCCATCTCCAGTCCATCACAGCAGTAGGTCCCTGGAATTCAAACTGGCAGAGATGACACAGCTGGTCCTGATCCTAGATTAGAAATTCTAGAGCAGCCAGAGGACCTTCAGATAAATCTCTGAGGCCAAGAGCTCTGCCACCAGCCTACACAGAACTCCTTAAAAGCTAAGCCTTCGCTTCCCTTCCAACCCACTTTCTAGGCAATAGCTGGAGCCAAGCTAATGATTGGCCCCAGTTTGGATTTGTTTCCGCTGAAGAATTCAGTACATGAGATATTAGATTAGGGACAAATTTCTTGCCAGTAGAAGAGGAATTAGCAGCTGTGGTTCCTCCGAGGCAACGGACAGGAAGACCCAGTTCAAATTTTTCCTGACACAAACTTTGGACAAAACCCTCCACCTAACTACGCCACTTACTTTCTTCCTAAAATATGGGTAATGTTCGTTCCATCATTCATTTGATGTAGTAGTTCAGTATTTCCTTCATAATTTATTCACAAATTAAACTAAAACTGGACCTTAATGTATTGTGAACAGTTTTGGCGTTTATAAAGTGTTGTG